GGGGTGCCGGAGGCCGGGCTCGCAGCCCCGGGGAGACTCGTCCCCGGCTCCGCCCGCCGCTCCCCCCCTGCCCCGGGAGGGTTTGCGCCGTAGGCAAGGATGTGCGTGCGTGTGCGCTGCCTTGTGCGGTGCTTTTCCCTTCGACGCCCCGGCGGGAGCTAGCCCTGCCCCGGGGCCACCTCCGCATCGGGCGGGAGCACCGCTGCCTTGCTGGCCGCGACGGGGGCACGCCGATAGTCCAGTGTCGTTTTCCCTCTTCCAATGAGAAACGCTTCTGCTCTCTCTGCTGCGTTTCTGCCTCGCTTCTAGGAATTTTAAATGCTGCCCTGGCTAACAGAGCTGCTCTTGTCATCCGACCGTCAGGGGTAATTACCAGCCTGGCTGAGCTTCCAGCCAACACTAGGTTGTCTTACTCTTCCTCTGCAAGGTCTCTTTTGATGATCACTGTCCTCCTGATTTCGCGCAAGGGAACGTCGCCTATTTAGACACCTTTCATAGGAACAGATCTATGGCAGCTCAAGGCTGGACCAGCAGTATTTTTGGACGTAGTACCCAAATTAGGTAGTCTAGTCTGGTTTTAGGGCACAGAATAGCCAGTCTGGGGGAAGTTTCTGCCTGACTCGATGGGGTGGTATATTCAGCAGAAAGCCTGAACGCTGTCATCTGTGAAATGCTCATGTTATTTCAACATAAGGCAAATAGTTTTATTATATCTATAAATACATTTTTAATTCTGCCATGCTCTTGTCTGCAGTGGAAGCTTTGTGGGAGTGAGTTAGAGGGCTCAGCTGCCAGCTGTGGGGTTTGAGATGTGTTTCGTTTCATGAATTTTTTACTTCTCCGTATAATTGACTCGTCCCTAGTCTTGTATTACCAGGGCTCACTGAAGTCAGCAGGCTTTGAGGCAGACCCCGTGTAGGCGATGAGGAGATAAGGGGAAAATACAAGCAACCCTTTCAGCATTAGTTAGAGCTTTTTTTAACCATGTTGGGCTTTTTTTTTTAACCAGTTGTCCTCTGTTACCTAAACTATATTTGGAAACCTAACTAGCAATGAAGTCTAGACAGTAATCAACTACAATGAATTTTTCCTTAGCTGAAAGCAATGACAAGTTTGGCTGATGAGACAGAGGTTTTCTGCCAGTTAATGGGAAAAAAAAGTGTTTGCGTATCAGGAAAGAACCTGAGGGCAGTTTTTGACACTATTTCTAGACAGTTGCTGCAGTTTTTTAATAACAATGTGCCATCTGTGTTTTTCTTACGTCTTTCACGATAGCAGTGGACATATCCCTCAGAAGAGGTAAGGTTTTTTGCCTTTTTCACCAAGCCTGCATGAGTGTTAAGGTACCAAGAGAAACACAGGTTATGCTAGAGATGTATTTTTAAATACTGCTTTTGCACTATGGCCAGTTTTAATTTCTATGTAAAATGTTAGCAGACTCTGTGATGCAGAGTACTTAACTGTTCAAAAATTCCAGTACAGAAGATGTTTAAATTTCCACTGTTAGAGTGGCCATGCAGGAACATATAAGAATTAAGAAAAGCCAGCATATATCCTATGGAGGGGTTTATAATGACCTGTCCTCACATCCCATTTGTTCTGAGTATGCTACAAATGTTGCTAAATGTTTTTCTTCTGTAAAAACATGTAGGTTAGCAGATTGTGTCTGCCGTGAGTTTGAAAAGAAATATTTACCGAGTAAAACAAAACTGTTTGTTTCCACAGTCTAAATATTGAGACTCTTCTGCTGAGAAACATACAAGTGCATAATTTTAGATTATGTATCTTTTCACTTTGATCTTTACTTTCCTTGTAATCAAAATAAGCCATGCTGCTTCATGCATGAGAAAGTCCTCGGTTTATGACGGTCTGAAAACAGACGCTGTTTACTTCCTGGGCAGTCAGTAACATTACAGGGCAGAGCAATGCTTACAATTGGACTGGGTGAACACATCTTGATAAACTGCAGTATATGCTTCATGAAGCTATTACATATGCCCCAGAAGATAAATTATTGTTATCTCTGTTGGTGTAAGGGGATCTCTAATTTTAGCCATTTAAATTCCTTAAAAATAATACTGATTAAAAAAAGCCTCTCTGAATCCTTGTAAAGGAACTCCCTTTTTAAAAGGTTGCACATGTCAGCTTGCTCTCTGGCGCAGCATTGCTTCTTTGTAAGGAGCTCCTAGGGTCTTCAAATCGCCGAAAATTCACGAGGGAGCTGAGAAGTGCAGGACGTGAAAGAAGAGTGCTGTGCAGATCGACCTAAACGGTTATGTGCAGTAAGAAAAGTCTGCAGATGCCATTTGCTAGTCCAGTAATACAAGATGCTTTTTGCCTGTGTTGTGTTTTCCATACAAACTATTGTACAGTGCAAAACTCAAGCAAATGGAAGTATTAGCATTCACTTTTGCTACTAACAGGCATAGTTTCTGTAACAGGTTTCTTTCCATTTCTGCAGGACAGACAGTTTGCCGGGGTGGAACACAGCAACCATGCTACAAAATAGTTTATTTTCATGATGCTTCACGCAGGATCAGCTATGAAGAAGCACACCTTGCCTGCAGAGGTGATGGCGGACATCTAGTCAGTATTGAAACAGAAGCAGAGCAAAGACTGATTCAAAAATTTATTGAGAGTCTCTTAGCTTCTGATGGAGATTTTTGGATAGGGCTTAAGAGGAAAAAGGAGGAGGTAGACAATAGTACAGAGTGTCAAAATCTCTACTCCTGGTCAGATGGCAGCTCATCCAAGTTCCGGTAGGTACCCATGAGTGAGACTGGGAAGCAACCTGGTCAGGGACTGTCACCTGCCTTTAGCAATCAGAAAGGATTCTTTCAAAAGAATCAAGCAGTGTTGTCCCAGCTGTCATCTGTGTTCCTTCTGCAGTCACTGAAGAGTGGTAGTATCTCCAGAGAGCGATTCATCCCATCCAGATGTCAGGGGTAGACAAATTACCCTCTACAGACCCTGCTCTCTCTTTGTTGCTCTGTATAAGACACCTAGAGTGTCTAGCTTGGGCTAGGTTGATAATTTTTAATTGCTAAAAGGAGGTGGAAGAATAAGTGATCTGGTCTTAAAAATCTCTGATTAGGCATGTACAAAATACGTGCTTTGACCTGAAGGTTCCTGCACTTCAGATCCCCTAAAGTTTTGTCCCTGATGTCCTGAGCGATGGGCCCTTCTCCTACTTGCTGAGGGACTAGCATTTTTTTTCCTGTGAGACAGTAAAATTGGAGAACTGCAGTATTTACTGTAGACATGAAAAATTAAAATTTCACAACAGTTGTTAGATTTCTGCCTCCTTGTCTTAAGGCAAGCGGAACCACAGCATTTGCTATAATTAAAATATAAAGGCAACAACATTTACAAGCAATACAAGTTTGCTGCAGTTGTTTTCACTACTTCCACACTTCTGTTCAGCATGGAACCAAAATGTGTTGAGCCTCAGAAGTTCTGCTAAATTATAATTTTATTTCAATCATGAGTCACAGTTTTCTAGACAAAAGATATTCTTAGATCCAGGCCTACAAGGTCTGCCTTTCTGTGGTACAGAAGTAGCAAATTGGCTCTATACATTGCCAAGTTGATGAAAGCCTTAGCAACGAGGTGCTAGCTCTACAGTGAACTTAGGTTCAAGAGAGTTTTGCCTGGTAGATATTTCCAATTGAACCTGTGGTTAAAGTAATTTTAAAAAATCAAACTATACAATGATCACTCATTATCTTCAACTTCTTGCTGCATTTACAGTGGTTGAACTGCAAATTTCATTAAATAACCCAAACGTTCTTAAATATTTTATGGCAAAATGTCATATGTATGACAAATGTGCCTTTGCATTCTTCTTTATATTGGACATGTGTAAAAATACCTTGCTATTGTGCACTTTATGCTTTGGGAACTCGTAAGAAATTGTAGTTGCTCTGTGCAGGAATGAATAAAACAGAACTGCTTTAGTACTGTTCAATATATTAAAGTTTCTCCTGTGGTTCAGATATTGGGGGTAGATAATAGGAAGCTAGAACCAGATCTGCCGCTGTTGAGAAACAGCCATAGCTTTATTGCCTTTCGTTGGTGAGACGCAGCTTATTTATGCTAAACGATAAAGCCAAGGAAAAGATCAGGGACGTGGCAAGGCAGGGCGGGCACTAGGGGAGCAAGGAAGTGAGGGAGGAATACAGCATTGTAATGATTGAAAAAATACTGCTTTAACATGTGTGGGTTTTTTCCCATGTTGAATACCTTGGTATATCTGGAATTATTTATATTGTATGGATCAGCTTTCAGAAAGTGCTCAGCATGCAGAAAATTGCTTGTTCCAAAATCAGTGGGTATTGAACATTTTTCAAAATCAGGACGCAGTCTTAGAAGTGTTTCTCTGAGATGCATAAAATGTCTCTTCAGTAAGGATTGTATTACAGAGTGCTAAGTAGCGAAGCCCCCTTCCTGTGTACTACTTGGAAAGGCCTACACAGTTTTCCAGTGGTAAAGTTTATTATTAAAAAAAAAAAACAATATTATCCGCAGGAAAGGGTTTTTTCATGTTAGTGTTTTTCTATACAGAGGAAAACAGGTCCTGCTTTAGCTGTTTCATTTTCTTATTAAACATTTGTCAAAATTTTGCAGGCATTGGGCACTGAGGCCAGAGAGCAAAAATAATTTTGATAGATGATTTTGCACAGGTCTAAAATTGTGCAGAGAGAGTCAAAGTTACCCTCAGCTTTTACTCAGCCTTGCAGAGGAGTTTCAAGCAGTGAGGTACTCAGCCCTTCACTCCCTAATATTTGTTGAACACCTTGCTCACTGGGTTTTCTTCGAAAATTAAGAATTCCAGAAAGAGAAGACACCCTGTAAATGATTCTGTTGTTATTGGTCCTACTTTTACACAGTGGAAGCGGGAGGTGAGGGTGGGGTGGGGTGTGTTGAGCTGTAATTCTTTTTGATTCTGCCCTCTGTGGTGCCCTGTGTGCTGTATTCCCATCTGAGCTTCTGCAGTGCCATGGAAAATGACATCACGTCTTACTTTACATGTTCATTGTGTTTTCTTAGGAACTGGTATGTAGATGAGCCATCCTGTGGGAGTGAAATCTGTGTTGTGATGTACCACCAGCCATCTGCCCCACCAGGTGTCGGAGGTCCATACATGTTTCAATGGAACGATGACAGATGCAACATGAAAAATAACTTCATTTGCAAATATTCTCTTGGTAATGAGTCATTCTGTAGCTTTAAAAACCAACCTGCTCCCAGTCCCCAAGAGGAGGTATGAGGAGATTGCAGTAATGGATAGGGAAACCCTCTCTTAGCTTCACTGGAAAGATCTGGTGGGAGACAGATATCTTTAAATTTATGCAAGTCCTAGGGAAAACAATGTCATAATATCTGTAGCTACTTGCCTTGTGACTTACATGAATTCTCAGAGGATTTTTATAAAGTATTTGAGATCTCAAATGGGGCCTAAGAGAGAGAGAACACTAAAGAAGGGTGCTCCTGTTATTAGACTATATTCAGTACACTTGCTCTCCCTACTCAAGCTTATGAGGAAATTGTGCGTATCTTTTTTTCTTTTAGAGAAGCCAACGAATGCTCCAATAGAGAATTCTCGAAGAGGTAAGTTACAGATATTTGTTTGGGGCTTTTTTTAATGATATGCTAACTTTCAGTAGAAATACTCTCTGTTACATTCATTGTCAAGGACACTCACAGGCTGAAAACTTACTGAGCAAGAAGCAAGAAGCTTCCCTGCAGTTTGCACTTTCCTTGTGCTAGTCTATAATCTATTCTGCAAGAACATAGTCTTGCTGTTGTTGATGCAGTATCTGGGACTGCTGGTCATGCAGGCACTGGTGAGGCTGCACCTCGAATCCTGTGCTCAGCGTTGGGCCCCTCACCCCAAGAAGGCCATGGAGGGGCTGGAGCGTGGCCAGAGCAGGGCAGCGAGGCTGGGGCAGGGGCTGGAGCACAAGGCTGGGGAGGAGCGGCTGAGGGAGCTGGGGGGGCTCAGCCTGGAGAAGAGGAGGCTGAGGGGAGCCCTCATCGCTCTCTGCAACTGCCTGAAAGGAGGCTGGAGCCAGGTGGGGGTCGGTCTCTTCTCCCAAGGAACGAGCAATAGGACAAGAGGAAATGGCCTCAAGCTGCGCCAGGGCAGATTTAGGTTGCATATTAGGAAAAACTTCTTCACTGAAAGAGTAGTCAGGCATTGGAACAGGCTGCCCAGGGAAGTGGTTGTGTCCCCATCTCTGGAGGTATTTAAAAGACAGGTAGATGTGGTGCTTAGGGACATGGTTTAGTGGTGGGCTTGGCAGTGCTAGGTTAACGGTTGGACTTGATGATCTTAAGGGTCTTTTCCAACCTTAATGATTCTATGATTCTATGCTGCAGAACCCTAAGCAAAAGAGTTCCAGTACACCTTGCACATCTTTGCAGCTGGCAGTCTCTTCAATCTCCTCTCACCCTCACTTTTTATGATTCTTAAACTCTTTTAAATAACATCTGCAATATTAATTAAGCTGCTTCTTTCCAGATGTTGCAACAGAGCCCTTGAACCCAGTATTCCCAGGAGAACGCCCTAAGAAAGATGCTAATGTAACAGTTGTAGAAGCCAAAGGTATGTTGCGCATTCAACAGCTGGCCCGTTCTCTCTCTAACTATGCAGGCCCACATTTCTCGCATGTGGCTGTAAACAGTCAACATTTCAGTTTGAAGTGTTTGACCCTAAATGTAGAAGACTGAATTTAGACAACTGCATCTAAAAAAAAACTTCCCTCGAATCTTTTCCAGTACAAACCTAAACCAATTGCTTTGGCTACCAAAATGTTCTAAATCTAAAGCTGTGCAAAGTATTTTGGGTCTAAAAAGGTACTTTTAATTTATTGGATCACTTTTGAATGTGTAAATTGTTGATGTTTTGTTTGTAAGTCTATTACTAACTATGAAAAACTTTCAATTTCTTCTTACCACACTGACTTGCCCCCTACAAATACACAGATCGTAAAAGGCATTTTTCTCTCTGAAATCTTTTGGCTGGGGGTTCCTAAGCTTTTACAAGACAGCATATCTCATTAACTTGCCCTACCGCTGCCTTCTTACAGTGAGACAGTGAGGCTTGTTGGTTCCTCATCTTGAAGATTTGAGCTTATTTTACTTTAGCCTACTTAACTAGATGATCAGTCTCTGTTAGACTTGCTGCCTTTGAGAAGAAGTAGATACTCCTAGATTATGAGAAATACTAGAAGCCCATTGAGGTGTGACGATGCTGCCTTTTGCAACTGTTAGTTTTTCTATGAAGTTCTGTGCATGTCAAATGCAACTGGAAGTGAATAAAAGCTGGGATCTCATTTTTACCCCTAGAACCTGTTCAGAGTCTTGCCTACATCCTTATTGCCAGCATTCCTGTGCTGCTTCTCCTGATGGTCGTTACAGCCGTCTTCTGTTTTTGGCTTTTTTTAAAGAGGTAAGTGACACTTTTGCGTAACAAGTGAACCTGTGGTATTTTGTCCTGGCAATAATTTTACAGCTAGCTTCAGGATCCTGTAAGATGCTCTGGAGAGGACTGCTTTCAGCCAAATACATGTTTAAAAAGTGGCATGGATGCTCCAGGTTGAGTTACTTGTGAAGTAAAATTTTAAGTAAATCACATTATGCCATTTTATTATGTTCACAGATATATAGTAGTTAGGGAATAGTGTAAAACAAGATGATTGTTTTGAAGTGTCAGCACTTAAGTTTTCTTATTAAAGATTTGAATTATCAGAAGATCCCCTTCAAAAGTGAAAAACATAGTAACAGAAATAAAAGGATATACGTTTGGAGCAAATAACATTTACTGATTTCCTCTCCTTGCTTTCCCTGTGTGCACAGTACCTCTGGTGGGGATGCTGGCTGGGGTTTTGGGAGTGTCAGTGTTGAGGTTTGCTGCCTCAGCATCTCAGCCAGCAACAGGGTGCAAGGGGTACCTCAGCAGGTCCTGCCATGGGACTACCCCAGGTGTGCAGCCTGCTGCCACACACCTGGAAGGGCAAGTAATAACAAATGCTATCCTGAGTCCAGGCTCTGAGTGTCAGCTTTCCTTCAAGGGTCATCATTAAATTACTGTAAGGGACGTGTGGTATTGTTTTGTATTTGCCTCTAAAAAAGCATATTATGACTTGTCCTCTTTCTTCCATCCCTAAGGAGACAGGAGCGAATAGATGCAAGCCCAAAGGAGGAAGATGCATGGTTGTCTAACCTCAGGAGGAACAGTCCAAATCTGGATATTTATAAAGTAATCAAGAAGCAATCAGAAGCAGATCTGGCTGGAACCAGGCCTGACACTAAGAATTCTTCCTTCCGTACACAGGAAGATAAGGTGCTTGAGAGCCTCTCCAGGGATTATGATGATGCGGCAATGAATACATCAACGAGTGGCTTTGTGACATTGGCCAGTACTGAAAGTGGCTTTGTGACCAATGATATCTATGAGCTGTGTGGAGATCATGTGGGGAGGAGCAAGGAATCGGCCTGGGTGGAGAATGAGATTTACGGATATTAAGGAAATGGATAAAAAAAGCCCAGAAAATGGATGACAGAGTGAATATCAATACAAGCTAACCTGCCCTCCCTATGCACTTGTTTTAATAATAGTATATGTGATGCTTATCCTGGTTTTGCATTGTCCCTATATTCTTCTCTTTTTTGAAAGAATGGGGGTTTTTAAGGATCCAGACTGAAAAGAATGTATATATTTTGCTTTGCATCAAGCCCCCTTTTGCCCCAGGAATGGCTTATTAATACTATTGTTCTTTTTTGTACTCCAAAGATATGCCTTTGAAACTAAAGGGCAATCCAAAATCCCTATTTATTTAACTGACCTACTCATCTTCACAGGTGTTACAAGCCAAAAGGCAATCACTGGTCACACTTGGATTCTCATAGGTGTCCCCAAGAAAGCTGCCATGGTTGCAGGTTGGTCATTGTTTCCATATCAGCCCATATCCCAGCTGTGCTGGCCCCCCTCACCATCTGCCTGTGACGCTGACAGACGCTTCACAAGAAGGAGAGTAGTGAGGTTTCTGCTTCTTTCCCTCCCTCCTAGTTCTTACTGCCAAGGCAGTGTATGTGAGTCAAAGCACATAACTGTGTGTTACTTATGCCATTAGGCTGGTTATTCAAGAATCCCAGTAAGTGCTTGGGTGTCATAAGGCTAACTGTGTTCCCTCACTTATCCTCTGGCAAAAGGAACTGCAAAGCAAGGAACGAGGGACTTCTCTGCAATGCTAAAGGACAGGAATGGGGTACTTCAAAGCATTCTGATTGGTCTTGGGAATTACAGCAGCCTGGTTAGCTGTCCAGAGATATGCTAATTTGGCCTAAATGACAAATTGAGGACCAGTTCCTTTCTTGTAGAAGGAATAGCCAGTTGCAGTTTTATTTTAGATCTTTTTCCTCCTTGGGCCTGCGACATGTAGACTGACATCCTGATGTTAATCTCCATAGAGATGGAATTTATGAAAAGGTAGATGAACGTAAAAAAATGGATTAAAAACGGCATTTTGACAGGGAAACTAAAGTATCATGCTAATCAGCTGTAATAAATTCTGTTATCTATTTACAAGGACTGCACATATTCCAGTATGTAGATTAAATAAGTATTAAGGTGAGGTACTGAGGATAGTTCATAGAATTTCCTCTCTGACAGTGTGAGGGAATGATATCTTATTTTACCAGGGTTTTTAAGGTGTCATTTTGAAGCCAATATTAGACACCTCCTATTTTTCTGCACCTTTGGAGGAGTAGAAATGAATGGCACCAGGGCATAGCAACTGCCACACAGCTAAATATACATTCAGGTGAAATGAGAATTTTCCTGTTAGATATGGGGAACAAGCAAGAATATGATGCAACACCGTTTACCTCAGTGAGAATTCATGGTCTGTAGTTCACTGCTTGACTTCTAAGGGAAAGAGACGAGACGATCCTTCACACTGAGGGTTTTTTCAGATCATTACCTCTGTTTCTCTGTTATTTGGAGCACATTTAATAAAGTTGTTAAGGAGCTAGGAGAAATCAGGAGTATGCATTTGCCATGGAAATGGTATGAAAGACCTGTCCAAATGTCTGCAGAAGCAACTTCAGGCTGGAGTTTTATCCTCTCTAAGGTGTATAAGGAGCCAGAGCAGGCTAACAGGATATTCTAAGAGTTGCACTGAGTTTAATTTCTCTTTATTGAACAGAGAATATATAGTTATTTTATCCAACTGTACATAAATATGAGATTTCTGATGTAGGAAGTTAAAAACAGCTGTGATGAACTATTCCAAGATAAACTGAATTTAACTTGGTCATTGGTATGTTTTAAGGCTTTTCAAAGCACACTTCAAGACATTACTTGTATCACAAGAATAAGGAATTTATATTGGAAAAGAGAGAAGGGTGGTCCCATGCATCTTTCTTCACAGCACTGTCTTTTCTGCTTGGGAAGATAACGTCATTTGTCACCGAGAATGCAGAACGGCAATTAAATGAAAAGTTGGGTGCCTAGCATTTTCTTTAAACTGTGCTTGCCTAGCTGTGGTTTGATGAAGAGATACCTAGAGTTATCCATAGCAAGTTGAATACCACACAGCTTTCCTTGGAATCAAGAAGGTACAGAATTTGCCCATCAGCCTGGATTCTTACGTAACTAGATGTCTTTGATTTTTGAATTCATCACATGGACAAGTTTTCATCTTCCGTGCATTAGACAGAGGACGTTCCAGCATCTCCCATATAAGCTTGTAATTTCCTATGCCATGTAGTACAGAGAGCATGATTGTATATGTTTGCTGAGAAGAAACACAGCAAAGGGGACTCAGGAGCAGTACTGACAACCTGGGATCGTGGTTAACTTATTTTTTGCTAGGCCTTTCTGATACATATTCTGTTCATGAGACATGATCAGCTCAATGTTTGTCTCACAGTTATAAGGACTCAACGACCTTCATAGGAGCTTAGAGCTAACTCCTGTGGCAAGGTCTCTGCATTGTTGCGTTTGTCAGTGCGGCTAAGTGTAACAGGAGTTTGGATAAAAACTGAGATTCATATTGACTTGAATATGCTCAGGGCAAAATCCCATGTGCTGCTGGATATGGGCTTGCTTTAGCTGAATTCCATTGTAAAAGTTCATGGGAAGTTGGAGGTACTTGCAATTGCCAAGGCTTTTGGAAAGGAATAGGAAGGGAATTCGGATTTATCAAATAAGCACATGATCTGGTTCCATAAAGGACTACTTTCTGTGAAATGTTTGATGTTAATACTGAGATCTGCAAAACTTAACATACATTTACAAATATAAGATTCCCCCCACCGAAATGAACAGGCACAATCCCTTCCTGTGCTCCCCAGCTGCTTCAGGCTATAGACAGACAACACAGCATTGTTTTGAACTTTCTGCTTTTTAAAGATGTTTGTCCTTACCTGAACACATTGGTGCTAAATGGACATGTGGAGTCTGGAGCACAAGTTCTGCAGCAAGTCGTAGATTCTAAGGTAAAGTCACTGGCCATGAAGTACTGATAGCAGCAGTGTGGCCTCTGGATATTCTTCAGTACAGAGCTAGTCTGTGTTTCTTCTGAGAATTGAGTCCAGCTGTTAATACTGAAGTCATGAGTATGCTTAGAGGTTTGCATTCAGAGCTGTACAGCTTCTTGCTAGGGCTCTTTGCATGTCCATAGCTGTGTATGTGTGGAAAGCACTGCGAAGTTCAGCCATTAAGATTTTTCTGTCCTGTCTGGTCTGGTATCTCAGGTGTTTCATACATTGGTTTATATATTCTCAAGACAAATATGTTCAGCTTTGAGTAAGCCAGCACATTTTGCTTTGTCTGCACTTACTCTGTTTTCAATTATTCCAGCAATGGAGCTGTTCCTCAAAACTGGAGTTTTATTTGATTGTATCCCGTTGAACTGAGAAAGAAGTGGGAGTGCCACGTAGAGAACCGAGTATGTTGAACGCTGGGAAGCTGGACATCTGCACTGAAGAAAAGAAAGCATTTAGGACATTATCATGTATCTGGGGCCATTTGGATTCAGCTCTGTACTCTGTCTCAGCCTGATCTTAACTACTGAGTGTCTCAGTCCCATGTGAAAAACAGAAATAACAGCAATTCACAGGCTTCCAGGGATGCCTGGAATCTAAAACTGAGTGACTCTGAAGTGATTTTGAGAGTGCAATAATGAGGCCTTGTAATTGACAAAGTTTTAATTTTATTGTCCAGTAGATCTGTGCAGCAATTTTGAAGCATGTCTAGACTAAGTCATTATGTATAAAAATTTATTTGATTAAAGATATGGTTTGGTTGAGCAATTCTAGTACCTGGCCCTGTGTATAGCAATTAATCTTTTTTTACTTATTCTGTTGGATCACGTTTGACCTTTTCACAAGCCAAATAAAAATAGTAAATGCCTGTTTATCTATCTGTCTGTGTATAAAAAACGGCCAGAACACCCCAAGTTTTGCCATTCTGTATTGGTTGCAATTTTATCATATCAACTTTTCAACAAAGCTTTTGTCCATAGATCTCAGTCAAGCACAGGACTTCTGAACACAGGAGTACTTACTGCAATAAGACAAGAACTGCTGGTCACTGAAGTTAGTCCTCAGTGTTTTGATTTAAACAGCCAAGGGAATTTTTTAAGCTTTATAGCCCTGTCTAGACTTCTCAAATCATTAGTTCAGATTTACTTAGTGGAGTCTTGAGCAATCTTGAAGATTGCCATGTAACTCAGTCATTTCTCAGCCAAACACCCCTATGTAATAGCCTGCAGTATTGTGGCAAGGAAAGATTTCTGTTCATCTCCTTTACCTGGTTGAATGTTTTCATTAAGAGTATTTATTTTGTTTAGGATACCTTGTGTACACTGTGCTGGACAGAAATGTGATGTGGTAGTGAAGTGCCAGTCTTCTGCTGGATGAGTTTTGCCTGAAGGCATACAAGATGTAATGCAGAGCTAAAAAAAAGGCGCAGGTTGAGGCAATCTTGACACTGTGAAATGCTTACTGAAGCCAGAGGTCTTCAGAATATATTGTTAAAATCACAAAGAATTATATCTGCTTTGTCTGGCTTTATACTAGGGATTTGCTAAGCTCCGGGCTTTGGATCCATCTGGTTTTTGGTTTTGTTTTTTTCTTCTTTGATCAGAGACCAGGTAATGGAAGGAGAATGACCAAGCAAACAAAGCATGCCAAGCAGGAATACAAATATTACTCACCTATTGCTCTGCAGGTGAGTATTTCCAGCTCCAGGAGAGCAACATTTTGCTGCCAAGCAAGTCTGTCTATGAAGCATCTGAAGTGAATTTAGCTCTTGACAGGGTTCCCTTGAAGTTTGCTCTTCTTCACTGCACGGAAATAAAAAAAATAGGAAAATGAAGCAAAACCAATTTGCATAAGTCACCAGGAAACAAAGATGTGCCAAAGGCTTTGGCAGGTGTTTTATGTGGAACTGAAACAACAACAGAAATGAGTGCACGACGTGGCCGTGAGTGCGCTCTGCCAATGTAAATACGCAGGAAG